GAGGGTGAACAGAGCAAAGAGAATCGATCAGACAACAAAAAATCAATCAAAGACAAAACCTCAAAATGATCACTTGATCTCAAAAGCCTTCGAACAGCTACAAATCAAGACATCCAACTTCAGTTCAGATTTAGAGAAATAATCATTCAAAACGAGATTTCTCTCGTTAAAAATTTGGTTCAACATAAGCCAAAACAAGCAGAGTTTAGGTTTTTACAAATATGAAAACCTCAACAAATTTATGAAGAGCCCTGATCAAGCAGGACAGATACCACAGTGCAGTTCCAGCCCAGTAGTCAAGTCCAGCCACTTCTATCCCTTCCAGACTGAAGAAGTCCCAATTCTGCCCAATCAAAAGCCTTCCCGGGTTTGAAATAAATTAAGGCTCTGCCAAACTAGAACGTTGGCATCGATTTTTGCAGTTGAAACAGACCAGTTGAAGTTGTTGATAGTCCAGTCCAGCACATGCACATCCAATCCCGCCCGGATCAGAAGCATCTACCCAGACAGAAATGGAAGTCCAATCTTCTTTTTGTTTTTCTAGAGTCAATTTTTCCCTTTCAAGTTTTGTAAAAAAGAATTCTGTCTGAAAACAGTTCACTTTCTTGTCATTTATTCTGGCCAGAACTATCGATCTTGTACTGTGAAAAATTATGAAGTCCTCACCAGTCTGAGGCAAGAAAAGAACTTACTTGGGAGATATTTCTCACCCAAATTCACAATCGCTTGTTTAGAAGTCAGTAACTTGGGGCGCAAGTTATCTGTTTTTAGGAAGTCTGCTAGGATTTTTTATTGCTAGCAATGGCACGCTCACACACTAAAGAAAGTTGACTTGTTGACCAGTCAATGGTTCTTAAGGTAATAGGGAACTTTACCCTATCATCACAGGAGCAAAAGTAAAACGGGTGAACATAAAAAATAAAAAAAATACTGAAGAAAATAAAAGAAAAGAAAAGTATTTTGCAATTCAAAAGAATAAAAGTTCAAAATTACTTCAAATGGAGTAGGAAAGATACACAATTCATGGACGGTGAGTATTACAAAATGTTGAAAAGAAGCGGGGTGTGTATGTGATCATGAATAATGCTTTGGTATGTCCTCAGTTTGTGTTATTCCTTTCCTTTCTTTCTTAACCTGAGCCTAGCCTTTCATTACAATCTAAGTAGAAGACCTAACTGATCTTTTCATGAGGCATTATTTTCAAAAATTTCCATTTTTCAAGCTAAGCATATGTGTTAAAATTTTGATTTCCCTTACATAACTTCATACACATATGTGACATTTGAGTGTAAGCCTAGGAATCTGAGAAAAAAGAATAGAGTGATATCCGGTGAGGATAAAGTCAAGGCGAAATAATTCCATGGCATCCGAGTGTGGTTATCTTTAAGCTTTGATGTTATGACTTTTGGTATTCCATGTTACATATGATGCAATTTACTCAAAAGTGACATAGCTTTAGTGATGCAAATGTGATTGGCATGCATTGGTTTTTATTAGCTTGTTTAAAGTGGTGCCTTTAACGACTTTGTTTTGCAGTTAAACGTTTGTGGGTATCGTAACTGGTAAACCCTCAGGAGACACAACTCCTCCTACTATGGACACCTAGAGGTTTAACAGCTTGTGGCACATGCTAACTGCCATCGAGTTTACCTGCAAAAGTGGTTTAGTTAGTTTTTGTTTTATTTTAGTTTTAGTTTCTAATTTTGCTCAAGGGCTAGCAAAAGATAGGTTTGAGGTAGTTGATAAGTGCATTATTTCCTATATTTTTATACATCTTATATTTGGTTTTTGTAGGGAAAGTTAATTAAAAAGAGCATTATTACCTTACTTTCCTTATTTTCAGCTTTTCTGCACTCTTGGAAGGATTTTGACTGAAAATTGACTTTTCAAATGAATTTTAGAGCAAGGCCAATTGGAGAAGAAAGCTAAGACATTGAAGATCATTGTATCAAAGTTTCAAAATTTTCTACCAATCCAAATGCTCTAGACTTGCAAGTCAAGACAGCCAAAGTTGAAATCTCGTAAGAACTGCACTGCTGTGGAAGATTAAAGTTTTGAAGACCTTTCCGATTTTTCCTAGTGGCGTGTGATATATGCTTGTAAAGCTTAGAGATCACGCTACGTTTCTCATATTTTTCCAGAATTTTCTAGGAAGTGGAAAGACCCTAAAACGTGAAAGTTGGCTTACGTGTTTCCAAGTCAAAGAATGATTCTTTCCTAGTTTGTTTCCTTAATTGTTTGGGATTTTGTTTTGCTTTGGCAGAGTTTTTACAAACCTTTTTAGAGTAGGGTTTAGTTGTTTTACACTATATAAGCTCACCCTAAGCTCTCTCTATGGAGGATCTTCATACCATTTATCTTCTACCATATTTCATACACTCACAAATATATTAAAGATAGAGGCCAAGAGTTTGCTGCTGCAGTGCTTTTGGATCTTACGAAGGTGTTGCTGTGGAGAATCCAGAGATCAAATCCATCTGCCAAATCGGTTTTATGACCACAATTCTCTTATTTATCTTTTCTTTAATCATGAACTAATTTTCCTTGCTAGGGCTACGATGTAGCCTAACCATGAATACTTAATTTTTATAATTATATTTATGTATGATTACTATTCCATGTTGAGTATTTGTTACTGTTCTTAATGCTTTGAATATTTGGCCAATATTTAATTGATTTGATGATCCAAGCAGAGACTAAGAAGAGATGTTTGGTGTTTGCTTCTCATAACAAATACCATGTCTTAAATGAGTGCCCGAGAGGGAGTAACATGACTCAAGTAGTTTTCTTGCAGGTTCTCATAGAACTTAATGGGTTCTTGATTTTCTAAATCCGTTGCTCGAGAGAGAATGAGTTGTTAAATAAGAATACTTTCGGTTGAGCCCGAGAGGGGATACCGAATGAATTCGGAGACACCAACTATCAACATGAGTAGTAATTAGGGTTAATTGGCTATAATAATTAGGGTTAATTGAATTAAGTGGAATTGATTATGGTGAATCGGATGCTCTAGTGTCTCATCCACTTGATTTTCCACTGTTAATTAAATTTCTATTTTTCACATTTGTTTTAATTTAGTTTAATAAATCAATCTCTCTCATTCATCAATTATTCAAATAAACTTATGAATTAATCATAATTGGTGCTTAAAAGGAAATTATAGTCTTCGTGGGAATGACACTTCACTTATCTCTATATTACTTGTGCAAATTGTGTGGATTGTACGCTTGCAATAATTTCAAAACATACATCATTAAGGATTTTTACTAATAAGATACTATAGATTGATCCCAAATGGACAGTCATATAATTATTGATATTTCACAATAAAATAAATAAATTTGAACTCTAACCCCTAACTGCTAAAATAAAACAACAAAGATTTTGAGGGAGTAGATACAATTTTGAGAGGCCAAGATAACCCCTAACCCCTACCCATTGCATGTCTTATATTCTAGCCATGCTCTTTGTTGGGGTATTTTTTTCGTCAAAAGGCTCGTCCGGGCTTGTTAATTCTTGGACCGTCATAGAGTGATGAATCATGCCTTCATTACTCCTTTTTCTGAGTTAGCGAGAACTAGGCCCAAAGCATCCCGAGAGAGAAGCAAGTCCCAGGGAAGTACTTTGTTCTTCTTCCAGCAGCTGAGTGTTTTGTGCTTATATTTCAAGCAGCTAGACAAAGAGTTGGAGATGGTGCATTGATGTTGCACAGGCTTGGCATGAGAGTTTGCACTTGTGAATTAAGATACTACTAGGCTTGGCATGAAAGGCTTGTGGCGTAGGAGTTAAGAGAAAATGAGTATAAAGAAAGGATTAAGGCTTGAGATTTTGGGTGTTTTCGGCAGCTAGACGAAGAGCTTGCGATGTCTGCATTTTCTTACCAAAAGGGTAATGACTATGGTTTCAACTTAGCTTGAGAGGATGGGTGTTTCAGATTTGGGATGGAGTTTTTAGAGAGAGAGAGAGAGAGAGAGAGAGAGATAAAGGATGGGTGGCTTGAGTAGATTTCCAACAGCTTGATGATTGCTTGGTCATGCTCTGGATGGTTGAAGATGACTTGCTCATGTTGGTATGAGATTATATGAGCTTGGCATGAGAGCTTGGAGTGTGGGAGCTAAAAGCACACAAGTTTAGCAAATGAGAATGCTTGTGCTTGGCTTGGTGTTTGATATGCTTGAGTTGAGTTCTAGAGGTGGGAAGATGGAAGGAAAAGCTTGAGGCTTGAAGATTTTTGTGAGAATGTCCACGTCTAATCACTCTGATCCTCATCACCAAATCCTGACTTCAGTCACTTCCCACCTTCCCTCACGCATTAAATGCTTCTTTGTGGCCAAATGCCTCCCAATTTATAGAAGGTGAAGGCTCTCTTTGGTTTCCAATAAGTAAAAGGAAGTGTTGGAGCTAGTCTATTTCCAACAGGTAAAAGGGAGCATTGAGACATTCTTATTTCCAACAGGTAAAGGTAGGCATTGGAAAATGATTATTTCTTATGGATGAAAAGAAGTGTCAGAATTAGCTTGTTTCTAGTGGGTAATAGGGAGTGCTTGAAGAATATCTCATTTGCTTACCCACATTGGAAAACTTCAAGTAATGGGCTTGGACCTTGATGCTCCCAAGTAGCTAGCCCAAAATCTCCATTATCCAAGAGCTTTCGTGGGCCTTGTGGATCTCCATAACCTTCCACGCCACAATCCCTCGTACAAGCCTCGTAAACCACATCACTTGGGTTCATGTGAGCTTGGTAAGTGATTGGCATAGGAAAAATGTATTATTGGTTTGACATGGCATGTACACTATTTCTATATTTATTTAATAAATTAATTCCCAAAATACAGTTTGGATTAACGCATGACTAACATTATATGTTATATTGGATTTAAAATATTTTTGGACTTCCCGTGACTTTTTTGGGCCTTAACACTCTTATATCCAACCAAAAAAAAAAAACCTGATTAAAAATAAAAAGAAAATGAAAGAAAAGAGAAAAAAAAAAAATAATAATAAAACCGTTGAATTCCCTCCTCACATCGGGTGTTCACACCAGCATCCTCTGAGTCTCCGCCTGTCTGTCTTTTTCTCTCCCGTCTTTGGGAGTTCCGCTCTTCTCCCACAAAAATACACCAAAAATTATCTCTCCCTCTCTCATCACCCCACTTCCCAATTCCAATTCTCATTCATTTCCGTCTCTCATTCTCTCTCTAACAAGTGAGAAACAATGGAGAGCTTTGCCCTCCACTCTCTCTCCACCTCCTCCTTCTCGCTCTCCACCTCCTCCTTCTCTCTCTCCACTCGCGCTTCCCTCTTCCGCCGCTCAAACCCCATTCTCAAATCCCCACCCTCCATCTCCAAAAGCCCCAAATCATCTCCCGCCCTCCGATCACCAACCCCCTTTGCCTCCGAACCCATCTCCTTCTCTTCTCCCTCAAAACTCAACAAAACCCACTTCCCAATTCAAGCCTCTCAATCTCCACAGCTTCAAACCACTCTAAAACCACCACCAGAGGCCCCTCAAGGCGCCAAGCCCATCCCCCTCATCATCTCCATCGCCATAGGCCTTGTCGTGCGCTTCTTGGTCCCCAAACCAGTCGAAGTCTCCCCACAAGCCTGGCAATTGCTCGCCATTTTCCTATCCACCATTGCCGGCCTGGTTCTGAGCCCATTGCCCGTCGGCGCTTGGGCCTTTCTCGGCCTCACAACCTCCATTGTCACCGGGACTCTGCCCTTTACGACGGCGTTTAGTGCTTTCACCAGTGAGGTGATCTGGTTGATTGTTATTTCCTTCTTCTTCGCTCGTGGGTTCGTGAAGACCGGCTTGGGAGATCGGATTGCCACTTATTTTGTGAAGTGGTTGGGGAAAAGCACACTGGGTTTGTCTTATGGGTTGACAATAAGCGAGGCACTTATTGCTCCGGCAATGCCGAGTACCACGGCCAGGGCTGGTGGTGTTTTCTTGCCTATTATTAAGTCCTTGTCCCTCTCTGCCGGGAGTAAACCCGATCACCCCTCGAAAAGAAAGCTGGGTTCTTATCTGGTTATGTCTCAATTTCAGGTTTGTGATTTTACTCCCTTGTATTGCTAAATATATTTCACAAAGGATCATATGAATCTGTCTCTGCTTATATGTTTTATAGTTCGTGGGTGTTTCACAAGGATCGTAATTCACGTTTTTTTTTCATTACTTGGTTAGCCCAGTTAATGGTTTGAGGGTATTCTAAGTCAACAAGTTATCAACATTTTAGGTTTAAGTATTATGCTTGCAGTTTACTAAATGAAAGATTTAAGGGAAATGCAGTAGATTGTGCCCTTAGAAGTAGGCCTTAAGTACTCTGTTTACATGATATGTTTAAATGTGCCCCGTAAGCCATATATACCTGTGCAGTTTACTCTGTGCTTCTTCAATGTGATCTCTATCATGTAATGTTGGCCCAAATCCTAGAAGTCATGAAGCATTGCAATAGTTGGAAACCATTGAGTTTGATTGGTTCCTTTTAAGGATACTCACTGAGAATATAAGTTATCTTCATGGTAGAGACTGTAGTCTGTAGCCAAATTGCAAAGAAGACCATAACACTTTGTCTAATTTCTCATTTCCTGCGTCAGTGGATTGTATTAAAATTTAAATATAGATCGTTGAACTAATCAAACTGCAGATTTAAAACTTCTGTATCTTATCTGTGCATTTGGTTATTGCGGTTATCCTGGACTGTGTTTGGAACATGTGGTCTGCTTGAAGAAAGGGCAGGCACTCATGTTTGAAATAAGAGAACCACTGTATCTAAATTACAAGATCTATAGTTTCCTTTCTTTTTTATTAATTCAGCATTAAGTATTAGATATTCTGTCCTTGGATCTATTAGCATGTTTTATTTGTGTCATCATGTGATTATTATGTGACTTATGCATCTGTGTTGTGTGATGCATGACAGTCCGCTGGTAACTCTAGTGCTCTTTTCTTAACGGCTGCAGCGCAAAATCTGTTGTGCCTTAAATTAGCTGAGGAGCTTGGGGTGATAATTTCAAGCCCTTGGGTTTCTTGGTTCAAGGCTGCTAGCTTACCAGCATTTGTTTCGCTTCTAGCTACTCCGCTAGTCTTATACAAGCTATATCCTCCAGAAACCAAAGACACGCCTGATGCCCCTGCCATGGCTACAAAGAAACTCGAGCATATGGGTCCTGTCACGAAACATGAATTCATTATGGTTGGCACAATGCTTCTTGCTGTCTCTTTGTGGGTCTTCGGGTATGTAGCTTTTCTTGCTTAGCACTATTCATTATTAATTTTACATGTCCTTTAGATCATAATTGCATATTCTTTTTTTTGGCAATCTGTTGTATTCTGCACTTAGAATAAGACTTTGCTTGGGATGCTTCCATCGACTTAGTGATTACAAATAATATTCTTTTGTCATATAAGCTCCTTTTTCGGAAACTAACAAGTTGGATTTTCTGGACCTTTATTTCCATGAACTTACTGTGTTCGTTTGTGGTTTCATAAGAGAGCTGATTTTATGAACTTATTCAACAGTGAGAATGAGCTTGTTTTAAGTGTTATAATCGTAATAGTAAAAATTTAATTTCAAAAAACAATATTGTAGGTGTATTAGCTTGTAACAAGAGCTTCAAATTCATGTAGAGATTGTTCATAACCTTTAACTATAATGGAAGATATAAGTTGTCAAAGATGAGGTTACAGCCAAAAAAAACTTGGACCTAACATCCAATTTTGTTTCTTTGTCAAATTGGCTTCAAATAAGCAAAAACTTGTTGAAACTCATGGGTTTTACTCGAGGATGACCAAAAACCATGTCTATAGCCTTGAATTTGTCTTTCAAACAAGAAACCAAAGAAATCTCAAACTTGGAGTTGAAATCCTCAAAATTCTTTGAGACTCGATCATTCTATCAAATAATCACGAAAATTAAAATTAGTTTTAGAAATCCCGTAAGGGGGCCTTTCAATCCTGCAACAACATTTTTCGAAAACAAACAGATTGTTTTGTGCCAAATTGAAAATTCGGGCTCTATCTAATCAATTACTGAATTTGAAACTGTACTTAAAACTGCTAACAAAATCAAACAAAGTGACCAAATTGATAAAATTGAAACCACAGTGTCCGAATGTGATTTTGGGTCTAAACGCAGTGACCGAAGATGTGTTTTACACATTCTTATTTGAATTATAATTTTTCCTCATAAGGTCTCCTTTAGTGCAACATTTTTCAACCCAGCAAGATTTTCTTATACTGATTGTTGACAATAGCAAATCCATTATATAATAGATAAAGACATTTTCTGTTCATGATTTCCCTAAGAATGCATTTTGTCCTACTAGGATTCTGAATCTTCTGATTCACCAACTCTTTTTCTGGTTCTCTTGCAGAGATGCTCTTGGTATAGCAAGTGTTGTAACTGCAATGATTGGCTTATCTATACTCCTTTTGTTAGGAGTCCTTGATTGGGATGACTGCTTAAGTGAAAAATCAGCATGGGATACATTGGCTTGGTTTGCTGTTCTAGTGGGTATGGCTGGCCAATTGACAAACCTTGGTATCGTAAATTGGATGTCTAATAGTGTTGCCAATACCCTCCAGTCTTACTCTTTGAGCTGGCCAGCTGCATTTTGTGTTCTTCAGGCAGCTTACTTCTTCATCCACTACCTGTTTGCAAGTCAAACTGGTCATGTGGGTGCTTTATACTCTGCATTTCTTGCCATGAACTTGGCAGCTGGGGTACCTGGCGTGTTGGCAGCATTGGCTTTAGCTTATAATACAAATCTTTTTGGGGCTTTAACGCATTATAGCAGCGGTCAGGCTGCTGTATACTACGGAGGTATGCTCCCTTCTGACCTCATTTGCTTAACTTCAGAATTTGTTTTCGTAATGAATTGCATTTTTGTAATGTTCAACTGTTCTCCAATAACAGTTACTTCATTCAATCCCCTTTGAAAAAAAACAATAATTGGAAAATTTTATTTTCCCTCTATTTGTTTGATAATGTTCAACTGTTCTCCAATAACAGTTACTTCATTCAATCCCCTTTGAAAAAAAACAATAATTGGAAAATTTTATTTTCCCTCTATTTCTCTCTCTCTCTCTCTCTCTCTCTCTCTCTCTCTCTCAGCACTCTATGGTCAAGCATGAAAAACATTGAATTGTCTTTAGTAGATTATGTTCTCGGTGATGACTGATAAGATTTTGTTTCTTCTTTCCAACAGCTGGTTATGTTGATCTTCCTGATGTATTCAAAGTGGGCTTTGTGATGGCTATTATTAATGCTCTCATCTGGGCAGTAGTAGGATCGTTCTGGTGTAAATTTTTGGGCCTCTACTGATTTTCATTTTCCATGCAAGAAGATTATTGGTATTCCCTGCGTATTATCTTTTTTTCTTTTTTTGGTCTGAACCCAGCGTATTATCTTGAGGGCAGGAATTGAGACCATCATTTTATCACATACAAGATTTCAAAGCGATTAGTTTATTTTAATTTTAGCTCCACTTTACTTTTGCATAAGTGTAACGACACAAATTGAGAGGTGAATAATTGTTTTGCCGGAAACCTATAAACCATAGGCCCGGCCACAGTTTGAATTATTGTGTAGCCATAGGACCTCTCCTGTATATGAAGCAAAGAGTTCTCTCTTTTGAATGAATTATTATGGTTTATTCCAAGCATCATGCTTATACCCTAGTCTTGTTTCGAATCTAGGGGTGGGCATTCGATCAGGAAAATTTGTGTATCGACTATACCGAACTGACGGTTTGATTAGGGCCGGGCATACCATACTTAATTCACAATCGATTTAATTGGAATAATGGAAAATAGGAGAGGAATAGGAATATTTGAAGATGGTTACCGGTACACACGTTCTTGGAATTGGATGTCCTTATTTACCACGAACAAACATTGTTGGAATTGGATGTAGCTCGCTGTCCATGTATTATGATTAGATCCCAAGATGCACCAAACGTTATCAACTTTGCAAAATATGAAAATAACGCTATTGCTAGTAGAACGTTTAAGCAAACCTGAAGCAATGGCACCTCGGTCATTAGTTTTGGCATCTTCAATTCCAAGAGGAGCAACAAGCAGTAATTATGAATTAGCCTTAGGGATATCGATTTCTTGTCCCCATGAATGTATCCCACAGCAACAATTAGTAACAACGCTCTTGACAAGTGTATATCCAAAATGTAGTTTGCTACTATTATATCTGCTTTTGAAATAACAACTACGATGACATATTTACTTACCATAAATGAAGTAAGGAATTTAGGAACTTAGAAATGGGGGAAGTAAGGAATTGGTACGGAAAAAGTCCAATTAAATTGTTTACTAACCATATGAAAGGGAGAACATAATGAGAATCAGATCAACTATTCCTCCCTAGTTGCCCATCTCCTGCTGTCTTGTTTCAATCATGTTCTGAACCCGTGTCTCTCTCTTTTTATATAACTTTAATAATGGATTCCCTCATTTTTCCTGTTTCATTATATTATAATCAGACATGTAGGCCATCTCGTTTTGTCATCTTATCATTATTTTCTGAGTGAGAATCTTTGTTTACCCTACACATTATCTCTTTATATCTTATCATGATTTCCTCTCATCATCCTTTCCAACCTCCATCCCCTTGTCTATTTAAGAAGAGTTGCTCTATCCAACCAAACACACAATCTCCTTCAATCTCATTCTCCTTCATACAATGAGCTCACGTGAGAAGGCTATAGCCAGTTCCTTGCTTCGTCATTTCCTTGATGTGGGTTGCAACTGGCTTGGGTGTCGGCTCCACTAAATTCCCTTCCGGACTGCAATATGGTCATATATTTCGCCCGAAAACATAGCTGGGCAAAATTTTAGACTGTTGCTATACATTGGTTGTAGAGCTTTTTGGGCTAAATTCCCAAATATTGAGTTTGGCACCCTATGGTTGGAGATGGCCTTATTATGGAGAAATTTTTTGGTCCGGTGGATTGATGATGTCACCCGTCCAACCACAACGCAAACAAGCGACCCCTGGATTCATGTTCCACATGACCCCAAACTGGTCCTACCCCAATGTAGAGAGTGACCCTTACTTGTCTCTGGCCAAACCGGTGACGTTGTCCACCCACCAGACCAAAGAATTTCTCGTTACTATGGCTGATAAGCACTGCCCAGAAGCCCTTGTTCCAACAGTGAAAAGTAGCAATGCTTTTGATTCCAGTCATACCCAAATACCTGCAATTTGGCATAAACACAACGCACATTCACATGTAGCAGCAAATTCCTCACTTCCACAATCTTTTCGATTGATCAAAAACAAATATACAATTATCGAAATTTCCATGATTCTCAAGTGTTAGAATTCTTAGTTTCAGCATTTCATATTTTGGATATTTTGGGAGCAAAGAAGAAAATCACAGAAAAATTGAGAGAGAGCGTTGCTCTGGAGAATGAAAAAATGCTTCTGTGTATTTCATATCTGTTCCACTGTTTGGTTATAATCATTAGGCAGAGAGAGGAAAAGAGATATTCTTCCCTGTACCATATTTACAAAAAGCTCAAGTTCTAGCATCCTATTAGATGCTTACACATGTCATTTAAACCTATGCTAGAGATTAAAACACTTGGACTGTGATCCAAGGGTGCACAATAAAACTGAAGAAAAAATAAACAACTAAAAGGAAATGAAAACAGAGCAGACACAATTCCTTTAGCTCCAAAAACTCGGCTGAAGGATTACACACCAACATTCCCTTCTAATCCTTTAGCCGACTTAACACCAAGTAATTCCCTTAAGTATGCAAACCTGTCCTTAGGCAAAGCTTTAGTCAGAATATCTGCAATTTGCTCCTCAGTTCTGCAGTAGACAAGTTCTATCTCCTTGGCTTGAATTGCTTCTCGAATGAAATGAAACTTTCTGTTAATGTGCCTTGACTTCTGGTGGAAAACAGGGTTCTTTGCCATAGCAATTGCTGATGTGTTATCACACATTATCTGTGTTCCTTCAATCTGTTCTTCTCCAAAATCTTCAAGTACAAATCTCAGCCACTTTGCTTGAGAAGTAGCCTCTGCAGCACTTATATATTCTGCCTCTGCTGTAGACAAAGCAACTGTATTTTGCTTAATTGAAGCCCACGAAAACACTCCCGATCCCATAGTAAAAGCATACCCTGAGGTACTCCTCATGTCATCTTCACTTCCTGCCCAGTCACTATCACAATAGCCAATAAGAGTAGTTTCTTTTCCTTTCTCAAATACAATTCCAAAGTCTATTGTTCCTTGAATGTATCTCAATACCCTTTTAGCAGTTCCCATGTGTTTCTTGGTGGGATTGTGCATGAATCTTGCCAAGAGGCTAGCTGCAAACATTATGTCAGGCCTAGTTGCAGTCAAGTAGAGCAAGCTGCCCACAATCTGTCTATATTCTCCTTCATCTGCAGCCTCACTCCCATCATTCTTACTTAACCTCTCATTCATTGCAAGTGGTGTAGCCACTATTTTGCAATCTTTCAAACCAAA